TATCAAGTTTTGAATGGTGAGGGGGCAGGAAAATTGACAGGGTGAGGCACAGGGGGGCAAATTTCTATGAATTCTAGCTCACCAAGGTCTACATTGAAAGCTCTGGGCCAGCCAATCTTGCTTCCAAATACCCTGTCTCAAAAAAGAAAAAAAGAAAAGAAGAATGGTGGTTTGGAACCAGGCATAATCTTAGCATTTGGGGACAGAAGCGAAAGGATTGTTGTAAATTCAAGACCAGGCTTTTTACATAGTCAGTTCCAGGCCAGTAGACCTACAGATCCTCTCAAAAAACAAAGAAAAAACCTGAACAACTACACAGAGAAACTGTCTGGAAACAAATTAAAATTAAAAGGTGGAGAGATGGCTCAATGATTTAGAGCACTTGCTGCTCTTACAAAGATCTTGGGACCCATAAGGGCCAAAATCTCCTCATGGCTTCCAAGGGCACCAAGGACCTATGCATGTTGTACACAAACCCACTTGAAGGCAAAACACATCCATGTGATGTAAGGTAGTGTTTGCTTCTGACAGCCTTCTCTGAGCAGAGCGGGTCTCCTCGCCTGCCTCCGCCAATGCTGCAGAAAGTTAAGTTTGAAGAGGAGGGATTGGGGAACATGAACATGAAGCAAAGGATCCACCTGGAGCTGAGGGACCAACCCCAGCAGCTGTTTGAAAACTTGTCTTGGACAACTGCCAAGCGAATGATGGAAAAATTGTCAGGTTAACAGATGAATTTGTGAATCTAGAGATGCCCGGTTTAACAAATGCAGGCTGATTTTCAGTGTCAGATCTCTCCAAGCTACTTAAATTGAAAATAGTTGAGCTCAGCGATAATAGATTCTTTGGCGGTCTAGACAGACTAGCAGAAGAACTTCCAAGTCTCACACACCTGAACTTAAGTGGAAATCAGCTGAAAGATATCAGCACCTTGGGGCCTTTGAAAAAGTTGGATTGTCTGAAAAGCCTGGGTCTGTTTGGCTGTGAGATCACTCATGTGAATGATTACCGAGAGAGTGTCTTCAAGCTCCTGCCCAGCTGTCCTATCTGGGTGGCTGTGACCGGGAGGACCAGGAAGCACGGGACTCAGATGTGGAGGTGGATGCTGTAGAGGAAGCCCTAGATTCTGATGCTGAGTTGGATGGTGTGGACAAAGAGAAAGAGGATGAAGACGGAGATGAGGATGAGGATGGTGAAGACAAAGATGTAGAAGGAGACGATGAAGATGACGTCACTGGGGAGGAAGAAGAGTTAGGAAATGATGGAGACGGTGATGAAGACAAAGAGGATGCGGATGAAGAGGAGGAAGACAGTGGAAAAGGTGAAAAGAGAAAGAGAGAAACAGATGATGAAGGAGATGATGATTAAGACCCGAAACAACCTGCAAGAAACAGAACTGTTGAGTGTTGGTTGCACTGCTCATGGATTTCTTAGCTGTGTTAAAAAGGTAGCTGTGATACAAGGCCCAGGACACCTCCACCCAAACAGCCAAAGAATAGTTCCCAAGACATTCTTCCTTCCTCCCTTTAGCCCCTTGGAAATCCATCGCCAAGCCTGGGACAGCCACGCCAACAAAATTGTAAACGATGTTAGGTTTTCATGTAAGACTCTTGCTGTATCATGACGGCTGTGATGGGTGAGTTGACCGTCCTGGCTGCCAGTTACACTGAGATTGTAACAACATTTTCACTTTCTGTAACAAGGAAAAGCTTTGTAAATAAAATCATAATATTTAAAAAAAGAGGAGGAGGAGGAGGAGGAGGAGGAGGATTTTGGTAATTCATTTAGTAATTACCTTTACCATCTTTGCTTCGTGTGTGTGTGTGTGTGTGTGTGTGTGTGTGTGTGTGTGTGTGTGTGTGTGGGTGAATCTGTGAGTTTAGACTAGGGAACATCAGCATATGGGCATGGGACTAAAATGTCCTCTGTTTGGAGGTCAGAGGACAACATGCAGGAGTCGCCACATCTCTCTTTCCACCCAGGCTTTGAACTCAAGTCATCAGGTTGGGGAGGCAGGAATGGTGGCATTAAAGGGGGCTGCCTAAGTTTCACAAATGCCAGGATTAAGGGTGAGGTCACCACTCCCTGCTTTAGTTTTTAGAGGAACCACTCATGTGCCTCAGCAAAGTCCACAATAAAGGTTCCAGGGCAGCCAAGGTTACATGTAAAACACTGTCTCAAAAGAAGGAAGCAAAGCCGGGCACTGGTGGCTCACCCCTTTAATCCCAGCACTTGGGAGGCAGACGAAGGCAGATCTCTGTGAGTTTGAGGCCACCCTGGTCTACAGAATGATTGCCAGGATAGGCTCCAAAAGCTACACAGAGAAACTCTGTCTCCAATAACCAAAAAGCCAACATATTATCTAACTGAGGATAGCATTGAAAACAAAAAGAAAACTTTTTTCCTGTTGTTGGAGAATTCTGATTTTTATTTGTTTCTTTTTTTAGCTCAGACTCAAGGATATGACTTGGCCTGCCCCACCTACCACCCCACCTATGATCTGCTGAGGCATGTGAAAGCCCCTGACCTGCAGACCCAAAGCTGTAGGATCTCCACACCACAGGGCAACAAGAGGATATCCAGGAGGAGCCCTAGAAAAGGCCCAACATTGACAGGGTAGTAGAAACCAGGCCAATGACTCTCTGCAATGAACACTTGCAAGTACAGGTAAATGGACAAAGGTGTTCATGGTGTGACTCTACACTGTGTCTCACTGTAGTTTCCATGATGAGATTTTTTTTTACAAAATGTTTAAGAATATTTACATATATGACTCTTGAATCTGTCCATCAGCCTATTTAATTGACATAGGAAACAATCGTTGTGCAATGTTGTTGTCAAATTAGTGAATATGGGAATGACACAGGTGGAAGAACCCACAAGTCATTATCAATCAATCACACAAAATTAATAGTGAATGCAACAGGAGGATTCAAAATGCAGCATATATTTCAACATGGAAAAAAAGGACGGATGCAGAATTCAGTTTGCCTAAAGAACTAACAGCCTATTGCATCAAATGCCAAATAACAACCTCATGTGTGAGTGTTCAGATGGTGAGGAACAATCATGCTTCAAAGCTCTTTGATTTAAGAAACACTGGAGTTAGGTTTTAAGAAGGATTTTTCCACCCAGCCTACGTCTTGTCTCTAATGTGATGGAGTGAGTTCCTTTCTGGCCTTAAGAGTATGATGTAGCACTTTGGGGCAAAGATGATGCCTAAGAGTGATGTACTGGAAGCCAAGATAGAGAGGACTTCCATAGCCACCATGATCTTCCCCTTGGTGCTATGATAGACAGGGAGGAAGCTCACCCAGACACTGCAGAACACCAGCATGCTGAAAGCCAGGAACTTGGCTTCATTGAATGTGTCAGGCAGATTCCTGGACAAGAATGCCATCAGGTAGCTTCCTAGGGCCAGTGATCCCAGGTATCCCAGGATGCAGTAGAAGGCAACAGCTGAGCCTTTGTTGCAAATGATAATGATATGTCCATGTTCTGAGTGAGCATCTTTGTCAATAAATGGAGGAGAGGTTGCCAGCCAAACTCCAGAGAGAACAACTTGCAGCAGGGTGCAGATGGGAACGATGAAATTAGGGGCCCTGGATGTCAGCAGCCACCTCCTCATTCTCCCTGGAGTGGTGACCCTGAAGGCTATAAGTACAGTGAGAGTTTTGGCCAGCACAGTGGAAAGAGCCACAGTGAACAGCAGTCCAAATGTGTTCTGCTGCAGGATACAGGTGACTGTGCTAGGCCGGCCAATGAAGAGCAAAGGACAGAGAAAACACAGGGTCAGAGTGGTGAGCAGGGTGTAACTGAGAGTCCTGTTATTGGCCTTGACGATGGGAGTGTCTCTGTGTTTCAGAAACACCCAGAGAACAGCAACTGTGAGCGAGGTGAAGCCCAGGGAGATGAAGCCGAGTGTCTTCCCCAAGGGGTCATCATAGGCCAGGAAGGTCACAGTCTTATGTTGGCAGTGGCTCTTCTCTGTATTTGCATAGTGAGTTTCTGGACACTTCACACACTGATCTGCATCTGGCAGAATTGCAGGTGACCATGAATGCATACTCTGGTCTCTCCTTTTATGCTAAGCCGCTTCCCAGCTCTAGCACCTCTCAATGCTATCTGAATCATCTTGCTTTTTTCAGATACACATACAGAGGGATTACACCCGATTGGCCTTCTACTTCATGCTGAAACAAACCACACAGTCCAAATGCTTCCTCTGTTGTTACTCATGGTGTCCCTGTCTTTAGTGACAGTGTTGTATCTTATTTGCAAGTCATTATAGTACTGATATTCACTGCATGAACCTAACCTGGCTATGACACTTTTTTGTTAACATACCTCCATTCTTAAGAGGGCATGGGACTTCGGTGTGATTGAGAGAATGATCCTTATCTTGGAGTGATGTTCTCTTATGTGTACCCCAAATGTACCTACATTGGTAAAGTCCCTGGTCTTCTTTATTTCCTCATTCTCTGGAGGAGCCTGAGTGAATTAATATTCTTAAATTCGTGGAGACTTGAAACACTTCATCAGTGCCAGTGTTCTCCTAACTCTGTACAATAATATCTAGGTAATGAATAGATATTATTCAGAACAGAAATTCTCATGTTTACAGCCTTCATGGAATAGTGTTTGAACACTCTGTTCTTGATATCTTCTCTATTTACTCTTAGATTATGATGTAGGTTTATGGACTTTTCTGCCATATTTTCAATATATTTATAATATCCATATACCTTTTTTAATTTTATATATTTAATTCTCTTTATATCACCACATTACCATTCATATTTCCAAAAAATGCACTCTGATGCTGATTTTGCCCTCCCTCAACTCCTTCTCCCAGATAGTTCCCACCTAAATACTCACCCAACTCCTCACCCTTCCTTTCTCTCTTTCTTTAAAAAAGAAGACCCCTTGTGCCCTGCCAATACTGCTTCAAGCCTGCCCAACAGCCCCAGACTGTATTCCTCCCATGGGTTCCATATTCTGGCCCAAACCTTTGGCATAAAATATCTGCATTATCCTAGGCCAGGTTGGTTCTAGGTAAGGAACTTCAGACTGCAAGCCAACTCACCCCAAAGTTGTCCCAATAGCCCCCAATGGTACCTCTTCCCCAATCTTCCATGTCCTAGTCCACAACTTTGCCAGGAAACTTCTGCTTTACTGGAGGCAATGCTGTACTTGTACTAGGAATCCCAGACACCAAGCAAGAAACCAGACCACCCAAGGCCACACAGGTTCTTTGAACTGCAGTGGCAAAGTTGGCATAAAAAAACCCAGAGATCTTGTGGTGGTCCACAAAACCTCCATTGGAGACACCCTACTGGACCTATAAACTGGATAGTCACTAAAATCCCTGACCACTTAGCAACCAGAGAGTAAATAGAAACCCAAGAAATAAAAACACCCATTCAACAAAGACAACTCAGGAACCAACTCCTAGGTATAAAATCATTACAAACCTAGATGCCTAAACCCCAGTGTAAGAACACAATCAGCAACATAAAGGCACTAGGAGGAAAACTCCAACCCAAGGAGTTTAATTATACCCACTAAAATACAGGAAATAGATAATCTCATACCAACAAAACCCAAAGAAGGGAAAGACACACACATAAACACACACACACACACACACACCACCACCACCAACAACAACAACAACAACAACAAAAATAATGGGAATTAACAATCATTGGTGATTAATATCTCTTAATAGCAATGAACTTAATTCACCAATATAAAGACACAGGCTAACAGAATGGGTATGAAAACAGGATCCATAATTGTGCTGCATATAACAAATACAACTCAACACCAAATATAGATATTACCTCAGAGAAAAGGGTTGGAAAAGGACTTTCCAAGCAATGTGGCTGTGTACAAGATTAAGTAAAAACTTCAGTAACCTTCTTCTATACAAATTACAAATGATTTGAGAGAGAAATAAGGAAAACAACACACTTCACAATAGTCACAAATAATAGAATATCTCTTGGGGCAACCCTAACCAAGCAAGTGAAAACGCATAACAAAAACTTCAAGTGTGTGAAATAAAAATGAAGAATATAAGAGTACTTGTGGCTCGTGCAAAGGACTTCAGTTTAAAAAAAATGAAGAATATATCAGAAGATGGCAAGATCTCCTATGTTCATGGATATGTAGGTTCAACATAATAAAATATGGCAATCCTACCAAAAGAAATCTACAGATTCAATGTAATCCACATCAAAATTGCAGCATAATTCCATTCTTCATGGAATTGAAAGGACAACGCACAATTTCATACTGCAAAGCAAAAAGCCCAGTATAGTTAAAAATATTGTATAACAAAAGAACTTCTGGATGTATTACTATCCCTGATTTAAAGCTGTAGTACACAAGAATAGTAGTAAAAACCATATGGTGTTGACATAAAAACAGATAGGTTGATCAGAGGAACCCAATCAAAATCCCAGACATAAATCCACACACCTATGGAACCTGGTTTTGTAAAGAAGCCAAAAAGACACAATGGAAAAAAGAAAGCATCTCCCATAAATGGTACTCATCTTACTAGATGTCTGCATGTAGAAGAATGCAGATAGATCCATAGTCATCATCCTGCATAGAACTCACGTCTAAGTGGATCAAAGACATCAACACAAAAACAGACTCAATGAACTTAGCAGAAGATAAAGTGGGGAGTTGCGCTGATCGCATTTGCACAGGAGATGACTTCCTGAACAGAGTCCCCATAGGAAAGCACTAAAATCAACAACTCATAAGTCAGACCTCATGAAACTGAAAAGCTTCTGTCAGGCAAAGGACAGATAGGACAATAGGACAAAATGACAGCACAGAGAGTGGGAAAAAATTTCACTAACTCCACATCAGAAAGAGGGGCAATATCAAAAAATGCATAAAGAGCTCGAGAAACTAGATATCAACAAGCGACACAATTAAATAAAAAATGGATTTCATATCTAAACAGAATTCTCAGGTGGCCAATGAAGCACTTAAAGAAATGGTCAACATCCTTAGCCATCAGGGAAATGCAAATCAAAAGGATTGTGAGATTCCTTCATACACCAGTCAGAATGGCCGAGACCAACGACACACGTGACTACTTATGTGGGTGAAGATGGGAGCGAGGACAGCACTCCTCCATTCCTAGAGGGAAGTTGTACAGTCACTATGGAAATCAATATGGTGATTCCTCAGAAAAGTGGGAATTGACCTACATCAAGACCCAGCTACACCACTCTTGGGCATATACTCAAAGGACCTTCCATCTGACCACAAGGACACTTGGTCAACTCTTTTCACAACCTCATTATTCAGAATGGCCAGAAACTGGAAGCAATATGGATGTTTCTCAACTGCAGAATGGATAACAAAAATGTGGTGTATTTACACAACGGAGTTTTATTCAGCTGTTAGAAAAATGGACATTATGGAAATTGCTGGCAAATGGATGGAACTAGAGAAAACCCATCCTAAGTGAAGTAGCCCAGACCTAGAAAGACAAGCATGATATATAGTCACATATAAGTGAATATTAGCATTAAGTAAAGGATAGCCATACTACAATCCACAGACACAGAGAGGCTAAGAAACAAGAAGGGCTTTAGGGGTGACAAATGGATCTTCCTGGGGAAGGAAAATAGACTATTGTGGGTGTACTGAGGTCAGGAGGGGATGAGAACTGGAGGGAGCAGGTGGGGTGGGAGGGACACAGGGAAAGAGTATGGGGAGAGACCTGGAACAGGTGGACAGATAGAGAGCTATGTGGAACCCTAGTACAGTAATGCTTCCTGGAACTTACAAGGGTGACCCATGAGAGGATTCCAAGTACTGGAGGATGCAGAGCCTAAACCAGCCATCTTCTTACACCAGGATAGGCTCTCAGTGCTGGGACCAGGACACCAACCCAGCCACAAGACATTCGACTCACAACCTGTGCTGCCAGAAAGATGCCTAGGGTAATAGGGGCTCGGAGCTAATGGGGGTGGCCAACCAGTGACTGACCTGTCTCAACCCCAACCCATGAGAAAAAGCCCAGGCCTGACACTGGATGGATGGCCAGGAATGTAAAGCTGGATGCTCCAAAATCTAAAGTAGAACCAAATGCTACTGTCAAAAAAGGAAAAAGAAGAAAAGGAAAAATTCATTGTTGTGATTCCTAATCATATTTTGCTGTACTCATAGATTGGGGTCTAGCCCAGTCATCATCAGGAAGTCTTACTCCAGCAGCAGATGCAGAGATCCACGGCCAAACATTATTGGTGAACCCCACAGAAGAGAAGGAGGAAGGATTTTAGGAGCCGTGGTGGTTGAGGTCACCAGGAGAGCATGGCCCAAAGAATCAACTAAGCATGGCCCATAGTGGCTCACAGAAGACTGAAGCAACAATCACAGAGCTTGCATGGGTCTGGTCTAGACCTTGTGAATTCATGCTGTGGTTTTTCAGCTTGAGGTTTTGTGGGGCTCCTAACAGTGGAAGTGAGGGTATCCCTGAATCTTTTGCTGTTTTGGGGGCTCTTCTCCTCCTATTTGGGTTGCCTCGTCCAACCTTCATATGATGGTTTGTGTTTAGTCTTATTACATCTTACTATGCAATGTTCATTTGATATCACTGGGAGGCCTGCCATTTTCTCAAGGGAACTGGAAAAGCAGTGGATCTGAGGAAGAAAGGGAGGTAGAGGGGTGTCTGGCTGGAAGGGAGGGGAGGCTGTGGTAGGGATGTATTGTATAGTATATAGAATTATCATAAAACTAAAGTAAAAATAAAACTGTGTTGTGCTCACAATACTATGGATGTCAGCAAGCAAAATGTGGTTGTTTGAATGAGATTGCCCCCCCTTACATGATTTATTTGTATGTCTTGCCCCTTGTGGGTGGGGTTATTTGTAAAGGATTAGGAGATGTGGCCCTTTTGGGAGAGGTGTGTTGCTGTGGAAGCATTGTAAGGATCTTGCCATTTGGGGTGTCTACTCTGTCTCCTGCTTATGGATCAGCAAGTAAGCTTTCAACTGTTCCTGTTCTCAGGCTGTCTTAGTTAGAGTTCTATTGCTGTGAAGAGACATTGAAGATGGAGTTTCTGTTCTGCCTGGTCCCACACTCATTTAGTTCCAAATAAATAACAGAGGCTTGTATTAATTATAAGCTGTTTGACTGGTGGCTTATACTTCTTACTGCTTAGCTCTCTCCTAATTATGAACCCATAACTATTAATGTATGTATTTCAACATGGTCTTATCTTACTGGAGAATGCCCAGCATCATATCTTCCTGGCAACTACATGGTATTTCTCTGGAAGCTTCTCTCTACATCCTCTCCCCAGAATTATCTCTATCTTGTAGTCCCACCTGTATTTCCTGCCTGGCTACTGGCCAATAAGGATTTTTTTTAATTATTAATCATTTTTATTTTAGAAATAATCTTATTTTACGTAAGAATCCATTCATTTCCTTGCCCTCCCATCCTCCCGTGTCCCCCAATGACTTCCCCAACCAACCGCCCACCCACTCCCCAAGGATAGTGAGGTCCTCCACGGGGGACCATCAAAGTACCTACTTCCTGTATATGGGCTGTAATATTATCCCTCCATGGGGAATGGGCTCCCAAGATCCATTTGTGCACTAGGGATAAACATTGGTTCCACTGTTAGAGGTCCCATAGACTTCCCAGGCCTCCTAACTGGCACCCACATTCAGGCAGCTTGGTTTGGTCCAATGCTGGTTCCCCAGTTTTACCACTAGGGTCTCTGTGCTCTCACTCGGTCAGCTCTACTGCTTCTGTGGGTTTCTCCAGCACTGTCTTGGCTCCTTTGCTCATCCCTCCTCCCTCTTTACAACATGGACAGCTGGAGATGTTTTCTGCATGACCACTGTTTACCTGTCTCATTGGAGATCTCATTCTCCGGGCAAGGTGTGCAGTCAAAGCAACAGGCAGCCTCACCCTCTCGGTGGGTTTTCCTGAATCCCGGAAGACAGCTCTCACTGCATACAGACTGAGGAGTCTGAGAATAAAGTGAAGGTTAGCAAATGGTCAGGTTTTATGGAATCTGCAATAAATAGTGTTTTCAACATAGAAACCTTAATTGGCTTCTGTTACTATCTCTAAATACAGATAAGGGATTTTTCTTTACTATTATGGTGAGTCATTAGCAGGCCCATGTGGTCAATTTTAGGATGTCATTGCTTCTTACCGTGAGGTGTGCCCCCTTGTGTAAATACACTACATTGTCTTTATCCATTCTCCATTGGAGGGGCATCTAGGTTGTTCCCAAGATCTGCCTATTACAAGTAAAGTTGTAATGAACAGAGTTGAGCAAATGTCCTTGTGGTGTGAATGTGCCTCCTTCAGGTATATGCCCTAAAGTGGTACTGCAGGGCCTTGAGATAGGCTCATTCCTAATTTTCTGAGAATTTGGGCATACTGATTTCTCCAGTGTCTGTGCAAGTTTGCACTCCCACCAGCAATGGAGGAGTGTTCCCCTTTGCCCACATCTTCTCCACCATTAGCTGTCATCGGTGTTTTTAATCTTAGATATTCTGATTGGTGTAAGATGCTATCTCAGAGTTTTTTGAACTCCATTTCCCTGATGAAAAAGGATGTTGAACATTTCCTTAAATGTTTTTCTGCCATTTGAGGTGGTCCTGTTAAGAATTCTCTGTTTAGATCTATACCCATTTTTCATATTGGATTATTTGGTAGTTTGGTGTCTAGTTTCTTGAGTTCTTTGTGTATTTTGGAGATCAGTCTTCTGTCAGATCTGGGGTTGTTGGAGATCTTTTCCTAGTCTGTATGGAGCCATTTTGTCTTGTTGACCTTGTTCTCTGCTTTACAGAAGTTTCTCAGTTTAAGGAGGTCCCATTTATTAGTTGTTGATCTGAGTGTGTGAACTGCTAATGTCCTGTTTAGGAAATGGACTCCTGTGCCTATGCATTCAAGGGTAGCTCCCAGTTTCTCTTCAGGTTCAGTGTGGATGGATTTATATTGAGGTATATGATCCAGTTCGACTTGAGGTTTGTGCCTGGTGATAGATATGGATCTATTTGCATTCTTCTACATGTTGAGAGCCAGTTGTACCAGCACCATTTGTTGAAAATGCTTTCTTTTTTTCCATTTTATATTTTTAGATTCTTTGTCAAAAATCAGGTGTTCATAGGTGTGTGTGTGTGTTGATACCATGACCTCAAATTCGATTCCATTGGGTCACCTGTCTGTTTTTATGCCAATACCAAGTTGTATTCATTACTGTGGCTCTATGGTAGAGCTTGAAGTCAGGGATGGTGATGCCCCCAGATGATTCTTTATTGCACAGGACATTTTGGATACCCTGGAATTTTTTTGTTTTTCCATATGAAGTTGAGTATTTTTCGTTCAATGTCTGTGAATAATTGTGCTGAGATTTTGGTGGAGATTGCATTGAATCTGTAGATTACTTTTGGAAAGATTGTGATTCTTTAGTATGTTGATTCTAGCTATCTAAGAACATGGGAGACCTTTCCATTTTCTGATGACTACTTTACTTTCTTTCTTTAATGACTGAACATTCTTGTCATATAGGTCTTTCCCTTATTTGGTTAGTCACTCCAAGATATTTTATGTTATTTTTTGGCTATTGTAAAAGCTATTGTTTCCCCAACACAATTCTTCACAGACCTTGAAAGAACAATTCTCAGCTTTATATGGAGAAACAAAAGACCCAGGTTAGCCAAAACAATCCTGTACAATAAAGGAACTTCTGGAAGCATCACCATCCCTGATTTTAAGCTCTATTACAGATCTATAGTCCTGAAAACAGCTTGGTATTGGCACAAAAATGGACAGATAGACCAAAGGAATAGAGCTGAAAACACTGATATTAACCCACACACCTACGAATACCTGATTTTTGACAAACAATCCAAATTTATACAATGGAACAAAGAGAACATCTTCAAAAAATGGTGCTGGCATAACTGGATGCAGATATGTAAATGACTGCAAATAGACCCAAGCCTATCGCCATGTACAAAACTTAAGTCAAAATGGATCAGAGACTTCAACATAAACCCAGCCACACTGAACCTATTAGAAGACAAAGTAGGAAATACCCTTGAATTAATTGGTACAGGAGACCGATTCCTGAACATACACCAGTAGCACAGACACTGAAATCAACAATTGATAAATGGGACCTCCTGAAACTGAGAAGATTCTGTAAGGCAAAGGACACAGTCAGCAAAACAAAAATGGCAGCCCACAGACTAGAAAAGATATTCACCCCACATCTGACAAAGGACTGATCTCCAAAATATACAAAGAACTCAAGAAGCTAGTCTCCAAAACACCAAACAATCCAATTAAAAAGTGGGGTACAGAACTAAATAGACAATTCT